AACTCGCGCCACGCAGCATTATCTCGAATGACGTGCGGATTTGAGCGCTTCCACTCCACCTCAGGTTCGCGCCACGGAGCGTTATCTCAAATGGTTAGCGGATTTATGGGCTTCCACTCTACTTCAGGTTTGCGCCACGGAGCATTATCTCGATTGACGTGCGGTTTTAAGGGCTTCCACTCCACGTCAAATTCGCGCCACGCAGCATTACCTCGAATGACGTGCGGATTTCTACGCTTCCAGTCCACCTCAATTTCGCGCCACGGAGCATTATCTCGAATGATTAGCGGATTTAAGGGCTTCCACTCCACCTCAAACTCGCGCCACGCAGCATTATCTCGAATGACGTGCGGATTTCTACGCTTCCAGTCCACCTCAATTTCGCGCCACGGAGCATTATCTCGAATGATTAGCGGATTTAAGGGCTTCCACTCCACCTCAAATTCGCGCCACGGAGCGTTATCTCGAATGATGAGCGGATTTAAGCGCTTCCACTCCACCTCAATTTCACGCCACGGAGCATTATCTCGATTGACGTGCGGTTTTAAGGGCTTCCACTCCACGTCAAATTCGCGCCACGCAGCATTACCTCGAATGACGTGCGGATTTCTACGCTTCCAGTCCACCTCAATTTTGCGCCACGGAGCNCTCGAATGACGTGCGGATTTCTACGCTTCCAGTCCACCTCAAATTCGCGCCACGGAGCGTTATCTCGAATGACGAGCGGATTTAAGCGCTTCCACTCCACCTCAATTTCGCGCCACGGAGCATTATCTCGAATGATTAGCGGATTTAAGGGCTTCCACTCCACCTCAGGTTCGCGCCACGGAGCGTTATCTCAAATGGTTAGCGGATTTAAGGGCTTCCACTCTACCTCAGGTTTGCGCCACGGAGCGTTATCTCAAATGATTAGCGGACTTCAGCGCTTCCAATCCACCTCAGGTTCGCGCCACGGAGCATTATCTCGAGTTATGTGCGGCTTTCTGCGCTTCCACTCCACCTCAATTTCGCGCCACGGAGCATTATCTCGAATGATNTCAAATTCGCGCCACGCAGCATTATCTCGAATGACGTGCGGATTTCTACGCTTCCAGTCCACCT